CGAACGTTCAAAATATTGCCATAAACTTCTTTGATATTCTTTGTGGCTACAGAGGCGGTGTTTCCTTTCTTGTATTAAAACAGTATTACATGCCGAATGTGTGTCTCGTCGTGTGTCATTACTATATGTTCTAAAGGTTAAAATACAAACAGATTCGTAAAGCAACGTTATAAAGAATATGACTACTATATTTCTGTCTTCAATTATAAATAATGAACTATTTTGACTACCATCTTTTTACTTCTGTATATTTGTTATATGCTTCTTAACCTAAGTATTCCTCTAGTTAAACAGCAGCTCTGGAACATCAATAATATTTTTACAAACAAACAAGTGATAAAAATAATAGATCTTTATCGACTATTACAATGGTATATTTAACACATATATATTTAGAATTGAGTAATTCTTGTCTTTAAACCATACTTATCGCATTATGTCAAAACTTTTTCTGGATAAACAATAATACAAATGTCTAAATTTAAAAAATATATAAAAGCATGTTTATTAAAGACCATAGTAATTAAAATATAAATGCAATACGTACTGTATTTCTTAATATAAGTAAAGAATACATATAATTTAGTCCCAAGCTAAAATATTCGTAAACGTGTGATTTCTCACAGAAAGGAAGACGTGGAGTTGCTTTAGAAACTACACCTGTGAAGGAAATATGGTCGATCCATAGTTTTTATTAGATTAATGAAGAAATATCTTGCTATTGCGATATAGATTAAGTGATTCAATCTTTATTAAGCGAAATTACAGGTATTTGTTTGAAATGAAAAAAAAATTAGTGTGTCTATCGTTTTTGAGTAGTTTTGGTTGATACTGAGTTATATCCGAACTGTTACTAAACATTTTATCTCAGTATTTATTTTTGAACAATGTATTCATTATCCACGATTTTTTTCTGTTAAATACCTTGAGTTGTAGTGTTACAACATTGTTTTTGTACTGAGTATACGAATATAATTCTGAGTTTATTTGTGAAGTTAGACATGATTTCACTTATTTATTCAAAATGTATTTAACTTATATCAAAAGACAGGTTGGAGCTGTGCTCAAAAAGGTTATCAAATTTTCCTGGTTTAAAGCTTTGGTCTCTGCATGTAAAGTAGTTAGATTTAAAGCATCCACTATCATTTGGAACAAACATGTTCTGACGTCATAATGGCGAGTACATTAGCCATTAATGGCGTAATACACGGCACGTGTACTAAATCAATATCCAGATGACCTTTTCCAATAAATGGTCGGGTTATGACCTAATTTTTCATTGCACTTGAATATACATTGATAACTGAGCTTCTAACCTATCACAGGTTGAAGTGACTCATAGTTTTCAACTCTGGCGTGTTAATGGAGCTATAAGTATCATTATGTGCCTGAAAATCTACTGAACTTACGAGAGAACTACATTGAACAACCCAACAGACCTAAAGACTTCAGCCTAAAGCATTAGGAACTTGTCATGAGCACAAAGTAACACTGTAAGTGAAGTTTTATACAAGTGTTTGACTGTGTTTCCTTTTTCTACTGCAAATAATTTTCAATTTGAAATTAATTATTGTTTTATTGTGATTATTTTGTATTTTGAATTTGTTTGTAGTTTTTTATTTCATTTTTTGTTAACAATTGGTAATTTGTATTGTGTTCAGATTATATAAAGTTTTTGAAACATTTGTTGTGAAACAGTAGACTTATTTCTGTACAACGTTTCATTTCTAACAGTGAAACATGATCACCTGCAATATTCAAAATAGAAATAAATTTAATATCCCAGAATTAATTCTTTCATAAATTGTATATGTGTTGGATAATTGAGTGAGTACCTCATAAAAAAGAAAGCCTCCGGGTTCTGTTTTGTATATAATTTGTTTTATTTATTATAATATAAACAACTCATGTGTGTTTCAAAATTTCAGTTTTATAAGGGGTGATACAGATACTTGTACAGATTGATATGAGTTAAGGTTCTTCTCCCTTCAACATGTCATTTGGAATATTCGTTGATGTAGGTGAGATATAGATTATAGAATATCGCAGTAAGTCTCTTTGTTTGTCTTGAAAATTCGGTATAGGGTTATTCTTTTGGCCTTTATCTTGTGTGGACATGTTTAGAAATCTTTCTCCAGTTTTAGCAGCCCCATTAGTGCAAACTAACAAGAATATGGCCAGCTTTATGTGAATAAAGATTTTTTTTTTCACTTGTATATTTGTTTTTCCTTTGTTGGCTATATTCAATTAATTCTCTTCCTAACGTTTCCTAAACCTACGTTTTTGCAGAAACTTCTGGCTACATGTTAAATATCAGTGTACCTGAATATCACACAGCTATATTTGCTTTCGGTTGTCTGTTTTTTATATTGTTCATTGATAATAAATAATTTAAGAAATATCTGTAAGAAAAGATGAATATAACATCGCTTAACCCATAGTTTTAGTATTATTTAATATGACTATAAGATTATTTGAATTAAAACTTAGATTTAGCGAAATGTTGTTGTTTTTTCTTTCATTTTATGTTCTGATTGTATTTTCACCACTCATTTTAATGCCAATTTTAAAACCACCAAAAGATGTCACTAATGTAGTGTAAAAATATTCCGGAAGTTGGGAAACGGACGATAGTGGTTACTTAAAAACAATTAATTATTGAATCAGACTCTTCTAAAGTTATTTAAACTAAAATATTTCTGTTTATCCATCGGACCTGAAAAATCGTTTTATCGTCCCTATTTATTCGAACTTAGACAATAGAAATTAAAACTAGTCCATAGGCTTACTGTTAAAGTAATAGTGTAGTATAGGGCTCAGTAATCGGCGAAAAGTAAAGTTGAAAAGTACCTAACCTAGGCTGAATTGATACAGGCTAACGTATGCAGCTTATTGTAGCCTAAGAATTAAGAAGATTTATTAATAAGTTTATCGTTATTCATCGTGTTAGTTAGACGTCACCAGCTGGGTGTCGTCGGCTACACACGTTGTTAGACGTCATTTTTCAGTTTTTGGTAAGTTGTTGGCAATGCTAATTCTATTGTCTAACATTAACAGTGTTAGGCACCAGTTCTTTCCTTAATTTAGATTAGAAGGGATCGTCTTAAAATACAATTACATCATTGACTAGAAATTTGTTTACAAATTTTACATGAGAATTTAAATTAGACGTATATGATCCTAATAATTTAAGTGCGTGTGATGCTTGAATGTAATACAGTATGAAACAAATAATAATTATTGTAGCAGAAATAAGTAATTATACTGACATGCCACTAAAATTAAGTTAGATCTCTTTTTTTTTTTTCTGTGATAATATCCTGGACTTGAGATATCATAGACTCCATCGTACACAAGGGAGTGTCTTGTTCATTCGTTCAAATTTCAAAGCCTATTCCTGGAATATTATGACCAGCAGTTGGTTCACAATTGATAGAAGATGAACATGAGCATTAATATGCAATGCTCAAGTTTTTTTCAAAGATATTTAATCAAAATGAGGTCTTATAGGTGTGTTAGCTAAGGAAGATTGTACATGGGCCAATATCATGCTCTTCAAACAATTCTGAACAAGGTGTTTGGTGAATTGTTGCATTAACATCTTGAAAGAGCCTTCGTCTGTCAGGGTGGACAATCAGTGAGGGATGTACTATTTTGCATAATGTTGATATTAAAGAAAAATATTGATTCTACAAAATGAGTTAAAATATTGATTTTTTTTTTTGCAAAACAGGTCAACTCTACATAAAAAGTTAAAGTACAAGCTTATTTTATGTAATGGATTAATTCTTTATCATGTGTTTTTTTATGTATAATAGATCAACTGCTTAACAAGTTGAGATATGGGTGTATTTTACTTAATGGGTCAATGTTGTATGATAAGATAGTCAAATTTGCATAAAACATGCAGGGGAATGCACGAGCAGTGTTGTTTCATGTTTACTTCTCAATGTTCATGCACTTTCTATGCATTTTTGAGAATCAGCTCCTGTTATGGAGATTTGATTCATCGTGTTGAATTTATATCTTTTTAGCATCGAACAGTTATTCAAAATTTGAAGTTATGCAAATGATCCAATTTGGCAACAATGGTTAGATACACACTAGACGTTATTCGCTTTGCCATAGAATCAGTTCACTGACAAAAAACATTCCCCTCACCATTATAACGCTTCATATTTTTTGCTGTCAATACATAAATGATGAAATGCAATTCATTAAACCATATCCCACACATCTAGTCATTCATTGACCACAGGATGCATTCAACGAACTACTGAATTCATGCATTTTTGTTTTCATATGAGATAACCGTTTTTCAGATGCGTTATTCACTGTCATATGAATTACTGTACATTGTATGGCAAGTTTTGGAAGAATCGATCAACTGGGATGCAGTCCGTCATTTGTTGGTGCCTTCCATATAACTCTGTCCATTTGACTTTTCCCATGTTCAGTTACCAGTGATTGTCAGACATTGTTTTTCCTAGTGGCTGACTTTTTTTTTAACTGCCAGACCTTAATGATGGTCGTCTTTGAACAACTGGTTAAAAAATCTTTGTTATTATGGTGTTCCTTGTA